GCCACCACACACCCAAAAGTGACTTGCAGGAATTCAGTTTGTTATTAAATGACTGGCAGCCAGTGCAACAGGGAGGCAACAAAGACAGATGAAGGGAGAGCAGAGCAGCAGAGATTGGGGGACTCCTCGGCATGGATCATCCTTGCATTTCAAAATGTGAGGTCTGTGCATCCTGCTGGCCCCTTACAAAATATTCTCGGTACCCAAAGTGCACAGCAGCAGGCACAGCAAGCAGGGGATTACTTAAGCCAGCTAAGGATGGGACTTAAGTTAAAATCCTGCCCTTAATCAGGGAAAGAAAGCCTTCCTGCAGGCAACCAGCAGGCCCTTTCCTCAGGAAATAATTCAGAGCTGGATTCCTCTTCTGAAGACGATGTGCCTGAATTTCTCTTTTCAGAAGGGTTGCTTATCTTTTCAGCTGGGTTAAAGCAGGCTCGCCAAGTGTGTGAGGCATCTTTATCTGCCCCATCTCCCTCCAGCCTTGCTCTCCTGGGAGTTCATCTATCTGATTTTGTCAGGTTGCTCTGCCAGACGATGCCCAAGCTGGATCCTTTTAATGCAGTCCTTAGCTACAAACACTTCCTAGGTTTGCTACCCACATCCATCCTGGTTTTGCAGCCTGTTCCCTTGCTCCCACCAACCTGCAGCACGAAGCCACGTCTCTCCTGTCAGAACTGCCTCTCTGCAAATTCCTCAGTGCCTCCATCCTCAGCTGCTCATCTCCACACCATGCCCCAGGGCCTGCAGTGCTGGGCTGCTCTCACTCCTTACGCACACCTTCCTCCTCCTCACTCCCTCGTCCTTCCTCTCTCTCCATCAGCTCTCAGGTGCTGCCCTCGGTGCAGCACAGCTCTAACAACGTGCCCAGTCCTCAGCTGTAAGGTATTTACCCTCCTCTCCTTCAAAGCCCTTTCAGAGCAGTCCCTGCCTCTCCAGGACCTCACACACACTTGTCCTGAGTCAAGTTTCATTTACAGTCCACAGTCTGTGGGATGAATCTTGTGGTATACTGATATCTCAGACTTGTGCTTTCTTGAAGCCACTACCTACTAGTATAAATATAAATGCACATAAATAGTATTTGTAAAGGTAAGAGTCTGGTTTGAAAAATACTTTGTAAGTAAAGAACTGGGCACTGGTAATGCATTAGGCTTCTTACATGTGAATTTACAAATAATTGCCATTTTAAAAATGTGGAAATATCTCATTTGTATATTCACATGTAAGAAACCTAATGCATTACCAGTGCCCAGTTCTTTACTTACAATTATTTTTACCTGATGATTAATAACTATGAAATTGTTTTGTCAAAGTCTTTCTGTATTTGAAAACATGCAGTTGCGTTTAATCATCCATAATAAAGCTTATTAAGTGATTAATAGAGGATGACCAGTTCAAGCACTGGCTTCAGATGACACCACCTGGTATTTCTGATACATTCTGCATTTCAGATGAGAGCAAGCTTTGTGTTCACATCAAAGCATGTATTTTGGACATCAGTAAATATGCTAGATCTGACTGGGGGGGAGGGGGGGAATGAACAATAGGGGAGCAGACCAACACTTTTGTTTTGCGTCTACGCTGAAGTTTCAGGACTCCATTTGAGTTTTTTTCAAAGAGTGCAGAGAACAGACTTTTCACCAGCTGGAGCAGTTGCACTGAGCTGTAAACAGGTGAGGTTTGAAAGGCTGTCAGTGAGACTGCTGATCAGAAATAACTTACAGCAAGGGCTGGGGGACAGGCACGTACACACACAGTTTATGCACTGTGGTGCTTGGGTTATTCAGCTCCTAACTCAGAGTGAGTTCATAGCTTTAACTCAGCAAACTGTGTTTCCAAAGCACTCCTTGGCTTTTCAGCAGCATCAGAAGACAAAGCCTCCCTGAAACTCCTTCCACAGTGTGTGTATGATGGGGGTGGGTCAGTGCCCTCAGTGAAGCCCATAAACAGGCAGGATTGAGCAGCCACACCATTAAAGGGTCCAACAGCTTCAAATAACAAGGCCTGAAACATTCTCAAGTCTCTGGTGCCTGCTGTGCCTGCAGGATGATAGCCTTTGGGCTCACAGCCACGGCTGTATGGATCCACGACTATGTGACAAAGAGCCAAAGGACATTTCATGGCACCTTGTTCTGAGGGGGTGAAGTAGCAGGTCAGAAACCAACTGGCAATTTCACAGAAAACAATTGATTTTCTCTTTAAGTGCCATGCAGACAAAGCATTTCTCTCTCAACTTGTGACCAAGGGAAATGAAAGATGAGGGAAACAAAATAAAATGTTTATTTTCTATCAAGCTATTTCTCATATGCAGCTCTAATATAAAGGAAATATTCCAATAAAGGAAAATTTCAAGCCAGCCTAAGGAAGAACATGGTAACTCTAGAGAAAAATCTCCCTTTGGAAAGAGGTGGCGCAATTTGAGAACAAACCAGTGGACAAAAATGCCTTTCTTGCTTGCTGGAGAGAAAGGAACTGTGATTTTGAAATACATGCCATGTAGTAAATCTCTCATTGCCCACTGCCAAATTGTCATGCTTACTTTGTGTGGTGCTGGGCAGATGTATATTAAGCAAGACTGAGGCACAAAAACTGTAATTTGTGCTGGAAGATCACTGTTGCATGGAGCAACAAAAGGGCTCAGGTGGGATATACTGGGAATTTGTGGAACATCACTTCAAGAGAGGCCATATGCAGAAAATACGCTGTTTCAGAAATCTTGATCTTTCCTCTTGATCTTTTAGAAATAAAAAAAAGAAACTTTTATAAAATGACTCTTGCCTATGAATTATGAGTCATTCTGCTTTTCAATAGGGAATCAACCTGCCAAAGGACCTTCTTCAAGGTTTTGAGTGCCTGAAAAAAACACATTTTTCAAGGTTTTCTACTACTTAGAAAGGAAGTGAGGAAGGAGATGAAAACAGAGAAATGAAAGCTTGATTTAGCTGACTGGAAAGACTGTGTCACCCAGGGAAATGTGAAGAAAATTATACAGCACAACTTGATTGATATGAAATTGGTATATGTCAATTTTTTGCTAACAACCCCACCTTGCAATCCTGCCTCTTCCAAAACCCCAAATCTGGATTTGTGCATAACTTCACTTCAATGTGTATATCTTATGCCAGACTTTACACACATGAATTTGAGAAGCAGCAGGAAGCACCACAGTACAGAGGACCCCATCTTCAGCATATACTCATTACATTAGAGCAAATTATTCAAATAATTTTCTGTATTCACACTAAAAACTGCACTCATTTTCTCAGCTGACTTTCTCTTCTGGGCTCTGATGCAGTGACCGAAGTTACTGCCATGACAGTGAATACTAATTTAAGCCCCAAATGGAATTATTCCCAAGCAGTGATTTTCAATTCATGGGCAGAGGGTGCCAGTTGGATGAAAAAGCAAGATCACAGCTCAGGTCTTTGGTATTCCAACAGAAATGATCCTAAGCTGTATCAACCACGCATAATGGTGGGACCCCATATGTAAATACATTAATGGAATGAGGGAGATCTAGGACATTATTATGGATATTGATGCTGCTGGAAATCTTTCTTGATGCCCACTCCAGTGCCACATTCCCACTTACCATGCACACACTTCTGTGAAATGAGGGCAGAGATGCAAGGAAGATGCACTGAGACAAGGGCAGGATGCTGGAGCAGTGTGATAGCCCTCTACAGTTCGCTTCCCACATGTTTTTGGGGTACTTCATGAGGTAGAAGTCAGCAGGCTGCTTTAATTTGGAGACTCCCTGTCCTGAGGTACCCCCTTCCTACCTGACTCCACAACTTGGCTGTGCACATTCCTCAGGAAAAACTGCCATCTGTCTGTTTGCTGCCACACTTCAGACACAGCAGAGCTGCACCCATTGAAATGAATTCTTTTTCTGGAGTGATAACATTAAGGCTATGTGTAATCAATTGAAATTCCTCCCCCAGAAACTGCATGCTGTCTCCAAAACCAATAAACACCCAAGGCCAAGGTCAGCATTCCTGCATGTTCTCACAGATGCTAAGTGCCTTCAAGCGTGTTATATGAATAAATCATACTAAGCTATGCTACATGCTAAGGTGTGCAACAAACCGGGGCAATTTGCTGCAGGAGAGAGATGCTCATTAAATGCAATTAATAAGCACTACCTGTGCACTGAAGGGCAGAGGAGCTAATTACTGGAAGACACTGTGTACAAATAATCTTTACAGTTATGAAACCATGGCATTCCCATGCAAAATCTCAAAGGGGGGTAGGGAATGACGTAAATCAGAAGAATGACCCAAGCCAAGCCATAGCTACGGACACAACAATCCTAAAATTAATGAACCCCACCACTGTCCTCTCTGTGGTTACTGGGCCCCTCTATTAGCCAGATTTTGAAGCACCCTAGGATAGGGCCAGCAACTTCCTTTGAATAGCATTCACCTTGGCATTCCAGGGAGCCTGTGTGCTGGAGCTCACAAGCACAGGGCTGGCACCAGGCTGCCAGTGGGAAGCCTCTGATTGGGGCTTGGGTTATGCACATCAGCTCCCTCACAGTTTACATCCTAATCAGTTTTCTTTCACAATGATGCACAAATCACAGAGTCTTCAAGGTTGGCAAAGGCTTCTAGGATCATTGAAGTCCTCCAGGATTTCTAGAATTCAGCAAGGAAACAGTAAGGAAGGTGGAATTTTACACATAAGCTCTTGTCGCCCCTTCAGTTTACTAGAATGATATTTGTTAAACACTAACAGAGAAAAACACATTTTTCCACACGAAGTGAAAGTAGCAAACGAAAATGTTTATCAGACTCACATAATGACAGAGCAATGGTATTTGAAAGTATGGTATTTCAAGAGAAATAAACTTTCCGTGTTTACCATCAATGGCTGCAATTATGTTGTCAAGAGACACATGAGTGTTTTGATTTCCTCTTCCTGCTGTCTTTTTATCTTCAACTTATATTGTAAGCTTGACACTGTTTATTCACGTACTATTAGAGAACCACTGAGAGGGGTTATTATTGAAGAGTATTTATTTTTCAAAGCAGTCACACCATGAAGCCACAGATTCAGCTAAAGCTTAACCCTACATCCTCCCCCAGAGCAGCATGTTCCTGATGTTAAAAACACCCCACTCACCCTAACAAACACAATAGCATAAGGAGAGGGTTAATGAGCTCCTGGACATGCAAACCCCAGATCAGTGCCTTGCCCACAGCACAAGAGCACAGAATTAACTCCTAGAATGACTCCAGAAAAAGGCCACAAAGGTGATCAGATGCTGGAGCACTTCTTCTATGAAGACAGGGTGAGAGAGCTGGGGTTGCTCAGCCTGGAGAGAATTCTTTGGGGAGACCTTGCAGCAACCTTCTCAAGTTATGGCACTGGCAGCAGAGCTTGCCAGCAATTACTTCCTTGGGCACCATAACAGCTTCCAGCTTTGGGTAGGATGTTGTCCTACAGGATTCAGAGCTCTGGTAACATGTTCAGTTCCTCCTCCTTAAATAACTACAGGTAATATGGAGTAAGAACTTATTTTTGTTGCTGTTGTTGCTTGCCTGAGAATATGTTACCTGATGGCTCTAAACTGTCATTACTCAGACACAGCAACAAAACACACAGATACATCTACTTGCAACAGAGCCCTTGGTCTACCTTTTCAAAAAAATTAACACATCCTTTTGCATGAGAAACTGTTGGCTCATCTGAGACACGAGGACTTGTTATTTGTCTGATTTTGTCTTTTATTTGAAGCTTAAAAGCACATCTCCATTAGCCACAACCTTTGGCCACAATGAATAAATATTCAGCTTCAACACCTTTGATAATGTCTAAAAATAGTTCATTAAACATCCTTAACCTTTTCTAAGAACAAACTTGTAGGTGGGCTTAAAGCATTTGGTGTCATTACACTTATGAACAATTTTGCTCCTTGAAATAAATTCAGCCTGGCTTTCTCAACTCAAAGTCCCCTCTCTACTCAGTAGAGCAGAAAAAGAGATGAAAACAATAAGGAAAATTAAAACACCACAAGCCTTCCAATGCCTGATGCAAGAATGGGTCAAATGGAAGTTTTTTGTTTGAGTTGCACTACTCTGAGCTCACATCAGCAGATCTCACCCATCTCCCTCTGCTTCTGCTCTACAGAAAATACTTTGGGACATCAGCTTGCAGCTGAGCTATGGAAAGCTCTTGTCTTTGATGTTCAAGCACTCTTGATAAAGATGGAAAAGGTTTCACCTGCACATCTTAGTAAAAACGGGACCTGAATAAGCAGCACCACAAAAAATCACACAGCTCACACCCAGCACACATTTCAAAATCAAAACTGCTGAGATTACTCTGACAGAATACTGGTTTCAACAGACACTTTAAAACTGAACAAATGGAAGGCAACATTAACTACAGTATTGTCTGAATGGCTGCAGTCATTCTCCGGAGCAACATGATCAGATCATTGGAATTTCACTTTTTATGCCAGAAAGGGAAAAGTTCTCTTACCCAAGAAACAGGAATTGAAGTACTTTGGTGATTTTCCCCACACTGAAATATGATCTGATATAATAAGAGTTCAAGTTAGTGTACTACCATAAACCTGTGGTTTCCTTTGAGCTCATAGCTTGTGATGAAGCTGCAAAGATGAGCAGAGAGCACTGCCAGGGTATTAATGGTAACACTAAGCAAATTCTTGAACTACTGCAGGGCTTGTGAGTAAAGTGCTCAGATGGCAGTGACACTTATGAAGGTACTTCTGCACATGAGAAGATCTACAGAATCCAAAAGATCAAACTTATAAATAGTAAATAATGCAAAATGAAAAGCAGAAGGGGCATGATCCCAGCTTCTATTGAAAGGTGGGATAGAAGAAAAAAATGAGCACTATCATAAAGACAAATGCCTCACATTTGGCCTCTTTCCTTGGAAATAGCTCTCCTGTAACAGCATAAGAATCCAATACAAATACCATGGTAGATGCACAGAGACTTCTCCAGAGAGCATACAAGGGACCCTCAGTGAAGTTCAGAACAAGATGTTAGCAAAGGTGACAAACAGGTGGTCTCTGCATTCCTAGTGCTGCTTTGTTACTGAATGTTTCCCACCCAAACACTCCCTCACCCTACACATGGCCACCATCACCCTTCCTCCAGAAAATCTGTTGGGTATCTGCTACATTAAACAACACAAAGGCAAAAGGAGAGAAAGAGATCTGGATAAAGAAAGGACGCAAAACAAGCTCATTCTGCAAAACAATGCTCACGCATTTTCTTGTTTTATTTTGGATAATTCTTCATGGATCCTCCCCACCTCAGATGCCAAGGCAGATTTGGAACCTTTTTCTGATTTGATCAGAGTTGCCCAGTATACTTTACATAAAAGAGAAACAGAATTTGTTCACATTCAGAAAATGAACTGGAACCATCTTCAAAACAACAGTTTTTCAGGATTGTGTAGGTTTTCACAGCCTGGGACAGAGCACAAAAGGTCACTGAAGACACATTTTGGTGTGCTTTACAATCTGTCCCTCAGACCAACCTGTTGCTTTAAGTACAGGTTTGAGACTGACAGTGGGAAATCTGATTACCTGACCAAAATGGCAATACCTGAAGTGTTTAAGTCAGTTGGCCAGACTGCAGTTCATAGGCTTACTTTTATACAGCCTTGCAATGTACATGAAAATAACAAAACTGTGTTTTCAGAGATGCGAGGAACATTATGCGAATGTGACAGATGGATCTGTGAACTGGAAAATCTCCTCATCAAAAAGGTCTTCTGGTAGTTCTTCATCTCCATCAGCAAAAAATGTAGGGAATGGAGGGTTTTTATTGCAGTCCTTGTAAGTAGGCAATTTGCTATCTCTGACCTGAAAAGCAGCAAGGGGGAGAGTAGGGTTAATAGATCTTACAGAAGATTTTTAGACAGTGATACACTAGAATTTAAAGAACTCAGCTTGCATGCATAACAAAAACCCAACAGCCTTCACATTCCACTTGTTTAAAGAATTCCAGGTAAAATCATCAGTTACTTTAACATCAACCCCAGATACTGAATTTAACATTTTGTACTCATTATTAAAGAGATTTTCAAAATCAGCAAAACTAAGCAAACAAACAAAAAATCCTAAGAGAATCTGTCATTACAGTGAATCAAAACATACTCATTGAATTCATATTCACAATATGAATGCATTGCTCAATATTTTACAATGTTATTAAAATAGAAGTATAGCTTGTTTAAACAGTGCTTATTTCTCACAGTATGTTCCTACATGACATTCCAAGTTCTATTATGCAGTGTAATCATCTCTTCAACAAACAAGACACGCGTTTGTATGGGTGATGCAAACTAATTACGGCAACTAATTTTGCAAAGATATGTGCATGTTCTGTACTGAATCCCTCTGGCTATTGCAGAGCTGCTCAGTGACTGCAGAGTTAAACATCTAAAATTCTCCACTCAGGAATCAGTACCTAAGTTTGTTGAACATGTGCCTCTAAGACAGCTTATTTGCTAGAAGAGAGGTGCCACAGAGAAATTCCTTTACTGACCTCTCTACATGTGGAAAGATTTAAAATCTAGCCCCTGAAACTCCAATCTCTGAAGAAAATTAGTAGCAAGAATTATCAGCAAAAAGCAGTTTGTCTGCAGTAGCAGATAGAAGGCTGGTATCTCTGAATAAAAAAAAAAAAAAAAAAAGGGCTACAAATTCTTAAATTTGATTTAAAATTAAATTCTTTTTTATATTGTTACATATCATCTTCCTCCTGAGCAGTAATAATCCCCTTCAGGCACTATACTCAAGTGGATTAAAAAAAAAAAGTGCAAATAGATTACACAAAATTTCAGTAGAGAGAAGATAAGCTCTTCCTCTTAGCTTTTGGTGGGGTTTTAAAGAACAGGATGCTTGTTCTTACTTGGCTAGACAAAGACCTCACATAGGACAGTTCTGATTTATGCCAAAAATTAAATTAAAAAAAATTTATGCCCACTTAATGCTTTGTTCTGACAGCACTGTATTTACCAAATTCATATCTACTATTACTTGAACCTTTTCCAAAATCCATGAGGATTCCTGCAGATAGCACATACAATAAATTTGACGTTCCAATATATTTTTTAGAGCAAGCTTGATAAACAGAAGAAAGCCTTTTGCTAAGAATGAGGGGGTGAGGGGTTCAATGTGTTGCACTGGTTAGGATGGCTAAGTAGCTTTTCAAGTAGAACACTGCTCCTCTGTAGCAGAGTTCTCTATGGCCTTGTGAACTGCCAGGCCTGTAGTTCCCAGTTTACACTGCACATCTAGTTGCAATGAACCAGACTGAGGCCAAGTCCACACACGTTTGCTGCAACAGTGAGTGAGAAGAAACAGTCAGAGCTTCAGCAGTGTCACCTGAAGGATGGCATCTTCAGGGATGTCATCCTTCCTTTCAATACACTGTGGCTACTTCTTTTGCTACATGAAACTCCATTTTAACTGCTCCACTGGTTATCTATTATTTCCCTTGCTAATTTCTCCTTTACTCTCTAATCCTATTACACACCAAAAGCTTTCTCTGTCAACAGCAAAACCCCTCATGGTCCCTACATGAGTTAGTATCAGAAAGATTAGAAGAAATGATTGTATTTATGATAACTTACTCATTTAATGTATATCTCATTTAAACCTTCTTCATGTCTACTTTTTGTTATTTTTGATTGTTTTCATCAAGAAATAGTATGTGCTGTTATATATAGGCTGTGTCATTGCAGGCAGCTCTGGACACCCAGAAAATGAAAGGAATTGAAATGTTTGTTTTCCTCCTATTTTTTTCCATTACTTCTTAAAACAATTTCTAAAGACAGGATTTGGCAGTAAGACATCTGCTCTTAACTGAAGGAAAAATCTAACAGTCTAATCTCAGTCCTGAATTAGTTTACTTAAATGAATTTAAGATTTCTGTCCAGACTTAACATTGTACCAATTACATATTAATGCCAAGGGGAATTTTGGACAGAGTATCTCCAGTGTGATGTGGAGAATTCTTAAAATAGTTTTGAGATTCTCACGAAGCAGCTCCAACAGACCATTGTTGCACTGTTTCATTTTGCCCCTTCCAAACTCCTCAGCAGCTTGACAGATCCCAGAAGCACAGGTCACATCTGATGTTAACGTTGTTTTCTTCTGATATGGTAATTTTTTTTATTGGTATAATTGATGCAGTATTTCTTTTGACTGGTGAAACTTCTACGCTTTCTCTACACTCATAGCTTTAGAATGCAATTTAAAGTAAAAAAGTATTATCTCAGAGCATCAGTACCAAACTAAATGAAACTCTTTCTCTTGAAATTAATAAAGTCAGATAGTATTCTGTTATCAGGTATTATCCTATTTAAAGGAAGAACCCAACTTTGTTTTACACCTGAAAGTATCGATTAGCAACTAAAACATGGTTGTTTAAGTTGCTAAAAAACATTTATCTGTCTTCTCAAGAGAATTATTTAATTACTCCCTTTACATTTATAAAGGGCCCAGCATAGCAAAGGTTTCAGTAATCTGAGGTAAGAGATACAGGAACAATAATGTCACAGCAGTATAAAGAGGTTCAGTGGTGTGGAGCAGCAGCAGTTACACTTGTCTGTATAGGCACGTTCACAGAAAAGAAGTGCAGGTGATCCAGCACAGCTCTTCCTGCTCTCCTAGTAACCTCCTGAGAACATCCTCCTAACAGAGGAGCAAGTTTTCATGCTGTGTTACTAAAATCCAGTGAATTTGGCTCTCATCCCCAGAAGGAATCAAGCTCATAGCCCAAACTGTTACTGCAATCCATAAAAGTATTTGCTATATACCTCATATAATAAATGCTGGGCTCACTTAACTGTTATATTAATAGCACTATATATTACAGTAGACTATACTATAGATAGACAGATGTTATATACAGATGATGGTATAGCCACCACAGTGTATTCTCTGACAGGTCATTTTATCTAGAAAAATACTAGACAAAGCTGAAATTGGAGCTGGTTGGGTCACTAAATCTTTAAACAGTCATAAAGGGTTTTGCAGACAATTAATAAACTGCACTTATGTATGTGCCCTATATTGACAGTGTAATGGGTAGTATAAACAAACACAAACTCAGAAATCTATCACCACAAAAGGCTTAATGTGGTCTTAAACAACTGTTAAAAACTGATGCTTAAGTCACAACTCACATTTGTAGTTTAACAGGGCTTCAGGCTGTGTTAGCAACCACAGCAAAGAATGCAAGCTATTTGTGTATAAAATGTGTTTAAATATAGAAAATTATTAGAAATAAGCTCTCAAGGTGTCTATTTTTAAAGCTAAACATAAAAACTGAATCCAAGAATTATATCCATTTCTTACCAGCCTTATTTTGTCTTAAAAAATAACTCAGCCATACAAATCCCCCTAAAACCTGCACACAACTCTATGAATGAGGCCCAAGGCACAGGACAGAGAACATGAAAGAACTGAAGGCACCACACTATGCCTGCATGTCCTCAACTTGAGCAGAGGGCACCCAATCCAGGCATCAACAACTAGCAACACAGCACAGTAACATTGGGAAGTGTGATACAAAATCAGTAGGACGCAAATCACTACATCTCATTAAAAAAAAAAAAAAAAAAAAAGAGCCAAACAAAAATAGGGAATGTCAGGACTTAAATTACTAGCTCAAGTGGAACATCATACTAAAGCAACTTGGATACTTCAATTGGACTCAGGTCTAGCATACAAACAGGTCAGTTCAGTATCAACTTGTAAAGCAACTCCTATGAGATACAAGATTTCCCAGAATTTCTGCCCTCACTACAAGTGATATATTTAAAGTGATCAACACAGAATACCCTAAGAAAATCAGGTGCCTTAAAATCAGGGCAGGTATAAAATACTATCCTAGACCAAGTATAACATCGTGAATTATAATATACTATATCACCCTCCACTAAAAGGCATCTAATTAAAGAGGGAGTTAAGTCTTGTGCATCTCTCTTGAATGACAAAAGAGAAGTTTTTGATAATACACCTGGGAGAGCAATCTGGAGCCATGACCTTTAGAAAGAGAAAGCTGTTATAGATGGTAACTACAGGCCCTGGGATCTAAGAAGATACCCCAGAAAGAAATAGATGTTTCCTGAGGTAGGCAATCTTGATAGGCCCAACACACAAATTTCACAATTGCTTACTCTGCAATGATATTCTTTTAACAGAAGAACTCTGTGCATTCCAGCACACTCCTAAAGTTTCTTAACTTTATCACACCTTGCAATTGAGAAAGAAATCCATGTAAGCTTTTTTCATTCATTTTCCAGTTGGCCAGAAACATGACTGATGTCAGTTATTTACCTGCATACTTCAATATGCATGCAATATCAAATGAAAGCTGATTCTAATTAAAAACAGAAACCCATCAATCCTAGTATTCTGCAATTTTATTCTGCTGAAAACAAAACTTGAAAAATTTAAGTGCTTCATCTCTGTCTGAATAGAGTGCTGATGCATGAAGTTTCCAAAAATACAACATACAAAATAAATATATGCTTTAAAGGTGCACTATGGTTTTAATGGTTACCAAGCAACACAGAGTGGGTACTGAACACAAATGCCTTCCCCTTGGAGGCACACAAAGAGGGAAGTGTTATGCAATATTTCACTCTGGAACTCAAAGACAGATGGATTCAAATTCCCTAGACATTATTCCTACTTATTACAGGCAGGTATTTAGTGGAATGAACAGTAATTACAGCAGCTAATATCCCATAATTCCTCTCCCCAACTACAGATCCAAACAAATATACAACAATATATTGGAAGTCGAAGTCTATAAGCAAACAAGAAATCACTGGAAGAAAGGTGTAAGGAAGCTAAAAACACCACAGATGAGTGCAGCGAGATTAATGAAGAAAAAAAACCCCCAGAAATCAGACAACCAAATAGTATTGCTTTACCTGATTTTATAATTAAAGCCTTTTCTACTCTTCACAGATATATTTGAAAAAATAAGGGAAAAAATGAATGTAAAGTAATTCATATGGCTCATGCAAGGAAAAAGCCACAGAATGGATCCATCAGCTCAAGGAACTGGAATGAAATGTAGCTTACTACATATTGCCTTCAATCTCCTAATAAGACTGGAAGCAATTTTGGGAGACCTATTTCCTAATAGCAGTGACACCTACTGCTGTGTCTTTACCTCATACAGTGTTACTTATTATTAAATGTGGTGAAAATTTGAGTCTGGAGCACTTTGGCCAAAATCTTTCATATTCTCTGTTATCTTAAGCAAGGAGCTCTAAGGGAAGAAAAGCCTCATTCTTCCCATGTATGTTCTTTTCCAAGCAGAATGTGCAGGGTCTGATCAGCAAGGGAAGAATGATTTGTTTGAATGAGATCTTCATGGTGTACTGTACTAAGAATGTGCAGTATTAACACACAGAGCTTTGTTTTAAAAAACAATTTATATTACAGTTGTGTAATAAATGTTTGTTTCCTTAACTCACTTAAAATCAGAAACAAAAATTAATTATTGAGTCTAGTTAGAATTAAAGTTATAATCTGGTAAAAACAGGCACTGCACTCATCTCAGTGGCTTCATAAGATGTTGCATCCTTACAGATAAAACATGTGAGATGTGTACCTGCATTTGCCACCAGATGTGGATTTTAATGGCATTACCAGGGTAACAAGATGCACAATATTTTTCAACAATTAACTCTTGCTTAAGAGAACTATTAAGATCAAAGAATACAGTCTGGGCATCAAAGATTTCTCAATTTTCCAGCTACATTATGCTGCTTGTATGCACACATTATTATTTAAAACTAACATCCCAAAATAAATTCCCACTTAATTAAATTTCAGACTGACATTGAGAAACCAGGTTCATGCCTCAGGATTAGGAACACATACTTTGAACACAGTTAAGAAAAGTTCATTCAGTCCAACATACAGATGAAAAGCCAGTCAAACCACACTTTTAATTCTATGTAATTGCTGTCCTGCCCAGCAATTTTGCAGAAATTGTCCTGAAAACCACTTTTCCTGGACACCTCTTAACCAATTTTCACTACATTTGGAAGAGAAATGTGTAATGTATTCCCCAGGCTTGGGCAGGACATTAAAATAAAACCAGTTAAGAGATACCTTGCCCAGGAAAAAAGGCCTTATTTGCAGTAAGAGAAACATTAATTTCCTATGAGTAAAAACCCTACTTGAAGGCAAGGTTGCTGTACACAGGCCCAGGAGCTGTAGAGTTCTGCTCCACAACTAAGAGACAAAATAACCAGATATTTACAGTAAAACAGAAGATACTTTTCAAGTCCTGAACCATTTAAATCCCTGCAGTATTTCTGAGGATTTAAAACTCTCAGATACAGAGGTACATGCATACCAAACTCATCATAGTCCTTCACAGCAAAGACATTTGATACCCTGCACTTTATTCAGTCACAATGGAAACAACTTCCTCCAAGTAAGTGGTTTGCAGGTATGTAGAATATAAGTAGAAAGAAAGTAACAAAGAAAATTCTACTTTGAAAACTACCCTTGAAAAGCACTTTTCTTGCTTTGATGTGAATTATTTACATCATAAGAACACTTCTCAGACTCTTCGTTGTTTCAAGACTGTCTACGGAAAACTGAAACAATATCCAAATAATTTGCAATTAATCCTGCAGACTGCCACAGAAAATAGCACTGGCACATTTATACTGATTCCAAAGAGAACTCAGGTCTTTATTGTGAACTCCAGCTGTCTCTTTGTGTACCTCAACTGCTTCTTGGAAAGGTAACTGCTACTGGGTATGGGAATGCTTAAATAACCTCTTAAAGCAGGAGTTGTTGTGTGTCTGTTCATCAATATAACACTTAAATAACATTCTGGATATAACAAATAACATTCTGGAAACCTCACCACCATGTTACAGGCTCATGTTGGCATTCAAAGGGGGTGGACACAGCTTACCACAGGGTTCAGCAACGGTGTTGGTGTATCCTAGGATATGTGGGTGCAAATCTAAGAAGGAGCCATTCAGAGTGCCCTACTGAGCCATTCACTGCTGACCACGCTCTATCACTGAACTGACTCCACTGCCCTTTGATTCAACAGTACAAGATTTCTCAGAAGAAATTAAAATTGCATCCTACCACTGTTTCTCTATTTGTAAATTGATCTGTAGAGAGCTTAGGAGTCACTAATACCAGTACTGAAAGTAGCAAACATACCTTCACCAGGCAATTGGTGTGACCTGGAACAGACCCATTTACATAAATAATGTCATGTTTTGTATTGATCCTCCACACCTAGGAGACAGAAAAAAAAAATAAAAATCAAACATTGAGTTCTGTTTAGAGATTATTCCCAGTTCTACAAGAAGAAGTCTAGCAAAGCCCAGACTGAGTAATTGGTTATGATACCCTGGGGAATAAAAATGTTCTGTACAGGCCTAAACTTGCCACAGAATTCACTCACATGCCTCTCTGGGTGCAAAGTTTCCTAATGCAAGAGACTGAAACAGTTTTAAAGGGCTGGTGACTGTCTTTGGTAAAGCAGCTCTTTGTTCAGCATAACACCAACCAAAGCTCCCAGGTCTCTTTTCCCTCTAACAGCAATAAGTTGAAAAAGATGAAAAACATCACAGGTGACAAAATAAAACAAATGTCCTTGTGAAAATGTTCCCCCTACCATATGTAAATTTCTTAACTCAATCAGGGGCTCAACTGAACACACACATTTTCTGCTACAAAAAATTAGTTATAGTAAACTGAGAACAACAGCAGCACTTTTTGGCAAACTAGAGGTCAGAATGCTTTTTGTGCAAACTGCAGAGGTTGACTTCAGAGACAGAGCAGTTTTAATAGCTCAGGAGCCACTGTAGCTATGCACAAATCAGAATCAGGACAGAAACTACAAGCCCCTTTTTGCAAATGAAAGCGAAAGGCCATGACCAAGTCAGAGCTTCAAACAACTCAGATTTGGGTTGGATGTGAACAATGGAATAGGCATGGAGACATTAACTGAAGTCATCAAAAGCCTGATTGTTTTCCCTCTTCAAAGGCAGAAGTCAAGGGACATAAGGAAAAACACAATGGATGTGGAAGCATCACCTGAAATTTCAGTTTCCAGGGTACCACAAACACAAAAGGATGTTCAGATAAGTTATTTGTAACCCACAAGAGAACAGGAGAACACATTTGCTGCTCTGCTATTTCCAGTTTGCTCACTTCAAATGCAGCTGTCTGGACTCTTGCAGAGATGGCAGACAGGACACCACTGCTTGGCAATGCCACCACCTTATACACACACTGGTATAGCCAGAACTCACCTTTAATCCAAAAGATGTCCTGTAGATGTTACCCATTTTACCAGGCATTTTCTTTCCACGATAAACTTTGGCAGCTTGCTAGATAAAAACAAGGTCAAAACCACCATGTTAACTGCAAGAAGTACACCAGACAAAATATGCTGGTATTTCCAAGGCTGAAAATATATAATATCAAAAAAAATCTAATCCTGATAAGCATTTTAAATACCTCCTGTCAGAAGTTAGGTTTTACTCTACATGTGTCCTGAAATACTTGACCACAATCACAAGATTTATATATATATTTATACACACACACATAGACACTGTAGTTTCTCTCCTTCCCTAATCAAAAAGTTTTTACACTGATGTCAATCAGATCTTTTTTAACGTGTACTCTTGAGAGTGGAATTTTTAATTACATTTCCCAGTATTCCTTGGGTTCTGTACCCAATTTTGATTGGCTGAGCATAAACTGGACAACTAAGGTGGGGAAAAAAGGCAGGAACAAATGAAATCCTTTTCACTGTTTGAAAAAGGATATCTATCCCGCACCTCTCTGTTAAACATTAATAATGTTTCTTGGAGTATTTCTTGTGGAAATCAAGATTTCAGGAAATCAGTTGCAATGCAGTTCTAGGGAGACGATTTTCTACTGAACAGTCCTGGATTACAAAATGTCTGAGATAGTACTTTCCCATCTATGGTTGGCTATCAAGGCATTGCTTTTCCCCTGTTGCATCCTTTCACTTTGTTTCCTTCCCATCACACCTACTTCCAATACCATTTTTCATTCTATATACTTTGTGAAATTACATGCAGCATTACTGCTTAGGAAATTCTAATTTAAAGAAAAGTAAAGGGGTTATTTTGTAATGATGAATACCATCTGCTAAAATAGTGTTTAGTGTTCAAATATTTACATTCTTCAATGAAAACAAGTGCCAGGTGTAGAATTCTTCTGCCAGCTGAAACTGAGAACTATAAATCAGTAACACATGCTTTTACACTCCCAAATACTCAAACTTCATTGACTGCTGCCTTTTTGCTTTTACTATTCTCTTGAGCATTATTAATCCTTCTTTAAATTTTAATTTCTCTAAGAAATTTACAGACAGTTCATGTTCAGTACTAAGTTTATCTTAATTAGCTTGCAAAATATTCTTCTTAGTTAAGTCTAAATATTGTACAGCCTTTATAAGACAAAGCCTAAAATTAACTTGTTCAAAGACCTTTTATACTAATATTATTTATAGTTTGAAATGTAAAAGTATGACTCTGTACTCTGCTTAGAAATGCATAGAAGCTTACACACTTCTGGGAATAATTCCCTACTAAATTATGGGGATCAGTTCATTATGCAGCTACACATGCCAGGCAAGGTGATAAAAGCAACCAGGGTTCCAAAGAACAGTACAATATCTGCAGGATAAAATATCAGGCAAATCCATTCCAATCTATAAATGCTGTGATAAAAGCTTCTTAGAACTCTCTTTGAAGAATTAATGCTGTTCCTCTCACTATATTACAAAATATGCCAATTAGCTCAGTTAAAATATGAGCATTTACCAGCAATACAGAATATTCATAAATCAAGGCCTAAGAGAACAGCACTGCTCCTTATACAGGATTCTGAACTTCCTTTGCTGCTGGGATTCCCTGCTAGCACAGAGTAAGTGTGGCAGCTAGCTACTGTACATTTGTTCAGCTCTAGTAAGCTGTTCTAAAAACACAGAGGAATGTTTTACTGGGAAATGAGAATCCTTACATTGGTAGATATTGCTCCAGGTCGTCTGTGAGTTTTTGTCTGGCCATGGCTTGCAGGCTGACCTTTAAATCCCCACCTTTTCATGACACCTTGAAATCCTTTACCAATTCTGGAAACAAAAATAATTAAGAAACAAACCTGGGTTAGTCAGACATAAGCTTTCTAGCAATAATCAACAATTCCAGTCAGGCTCATGATTTTTTTACCTTTAACAACACTAGCTTAGGGAAGAAGATACTTAAACATGGTATAAAAATCTGTACTTTGTACCATAAACGTATTTTAGTACAATGCTTAAAGACTGCTTTACAGAATAAGAAGCACTAGAAGAGTCAAACAGGCAAGAAGACTAACATAAAATGCTCTTTGCTGTGATTGTCCTCAATAAAAGTTACCATAATGCATCTGTCACCAAGTGAGCAGCAGAACAAATAAACAAAAACCCTGTCAAAATCCCAAATAATACCATATACCACAACTTAATATCTGGCCTAAGCATCGAGAGAGGGAAGGGATGGCTACTTAGAAGGGACATTTCTCTTCCATACAACAAACTCATCTCTTGAGAGCAGCTTTGGGTATAATGACATGTAATTCCCTTGATCTGTACTCATCCAACAAATAAGCTCTAAAACACAATATCAAATAAAATGTATTTTCAGAGTCCATGTCCTTCATCTTTGAGCCACATGACAGCATTACTGGCTTTGGAATTCTCTATTTACTGCAAGAACAGATTCAATAGGGAAAATCACCACTGCACAAAGGAAAAGCTGAATTAAGTGTGTGCTAAACCGGCATTATCTGTGTACAAAAGCAGAAGTCTGACCACAGTGTTTATGGCTGCACTGATTATTAAATTTAACCTGAAATTGTCTCCGTTGGTCAGAGCATGGTGCTCGTGATGCCAAGGTTGTGGGTTCCACCCCTGTTAGGGCCTTTCATTTAAAGAGTTGGAGCCTGTGATCCTTGTGGATCCCTTCCAACTTTGAATATCCTGTGATTCTATGATTTTGCACAAGAATCCTTTTCCTCTGATTTTCAAAAATCCTTTCTCTGCAAAAATATATATGCACTTTGCATCTAAAATAAAACTGGGTATGAGCACACTCTATGCAGGAACTGCACTTGGCTGACTCCCTGCTCAGCACTGCCATGAAAAACTAGGGAACACACAAACACAGAAAACACCAACATTAATGAAAAGTAGATTCTTTCCTCTTCCCACTTGATTCAACTCTCCTGTAACTGCCGTCCTGGTTATCTTGAACACATCAAACCACAGTCAAAAATAGCCATCAAGATAAAGCTACAGAATTATAAGGGAACATGAGCTATGCAGCCACAATGTCTGTCTCCTGGTCTTCCCCTTCCCTGCTCAGAACCTAGGGGACAAGCCCAGTTAAATCTGGCAAAGAAACATGTGTAATTGTTTGAATAAAGAAGTTACTGGTTAGAAGCTCCTGAGTATTTTTTGCTCCTTACCTAGAGCTAAGGAAAAGCTAAAACTTAATTAAAGCAGTGATATCTTCCTTTGATCTGCCAGCTGACTGGTCATGCAAGTGGCTGTCACCAGCAAGACAAGCCCTTCCAGGCCAGCAGACAGTAGTGGGACATGAAGATATGAAGGGGGTTGGGGCCATGAGAGGAAGTTGAATGAAGGCACCTGCAGGAGGGACAATCTGGGTTATCTGAGATTAGGAACACAAGACAGGAATCCAAAGGATGCAAGGCTTTGTAACACCACTTTCTAATAGAATCAGCTTACTTTAAAAGCCTGCAGGAGTAAACAGCAATAGTAGTAAAAAACAGGTTGAAAAATACACTTTAAGAGAGGCTCTAAACTTGTGTTTTTCTGTTTTCATACTGCTAGGGAGCAGTAACTATGAAATACATGCAGAAACTAAGCTATAGGAAAACTCATATCTGTTCTGCCAAAATGACATTTTTTTCTTTTAAACTACCTATTACTGGCCATGTTTTCCAAGCAGATTACTTCTGGCATCTCTAGCTGGAAGATGGACTTAGCAAAGTCTCCAAAACCAACTGCAAGTGGGTTGCAGGTGTGCAGTCAACAGAGCGAGCAGATAAATTCTCTCTTTAAATGATGGGGCATGATAAATTCTTTAGCTGCAGAAATGCCCTTGCAATTCAGAGAAAACCATACAACCATAGAAAGCTACCATTTCAAAAGTAAACACTACTGTCAAACTTAGCCAAGAAGAATAAATCTGATGTCATGAAATCACTTCAATATTTCATTCTACTTACTTATTTTTTAACATGAACAATTTAGAATACTGTCAGTTGTGCTAAAAAATTTTAAAACATAAATACTACATATATGCAAGAGATGTATTTTTTAAATAGAGTTTAGTACATCAAATATGATAAGATAACTTAAAAAAAGTGATTCTATTACAAGATAGAGTGATTAGTGTTAAATGATTCATGCAATAGAGAATACTCAGTTGCTTCTTGGTCCTTCTAATTACACATGTATTTTCTGTGAACAAAGACTCAGATTTTACAACACTGAAGCCTTAGGAACTTTACAGAAAGTGTGATCAGACTGAAAAAAAGAGTACTCCAGTAAACCTGAAAGTTCTCCTGCATCTGTTGATCTGGAATACAAAAACAAATCTTCAGTCTCTGAAATATTCTGCTTAAAGGCAAGGAAAGATATTGCAATACTGAAATTAAGAGCATTTTATACTTTTTTTTTTTAATTTATAATCTGTATTTTATACTTTTTTATTTTCTTTTTTTTTTTTTTTACTATCTATCAAGGCATTTTCATCATATTAGTTCAATAATGTTTCAGATTAGTTTCATTTTTGACTTGTAAAAATCACTCCATTACCTACAAGGATACTCTACCTTAGAACTTCCTGACATTAATTTCCTATTTAATATGACACAGCCATCATGACTGAAATAATTAAAAAAGAAGCAGCTATAGTTGTTTTTCATTTTGGAGCTTTTTACTTTAAAAAAGAATAAACAATGTCTAATGTTTTTTGTCACACATGTCAAGAGGACAAACAATTTCACTGTGTGTATTTCTTATTTGACTCATGTACTATCTGAAATGAAGCTGGAAATAGAGTAAGAACAGAGTAAGATTATTTAGACTGAATGCAAAGTTTAAAATAAAGTAAGGACCTACTAACATCTGGTTTATTATAAAATTTAGAACTGGTAAACTAGGCAGTTAGCAGCTCAGGCAATATACCACAAGCATTCTAAAGAACAGTGTTTTTGCAGCCTAAGTTGATGTGAATAAGATCTGTTTTTAGACAAGTGGTGGATTTCTCCGCTATATGAAAAAAAATATAATGAGTCCATTTTCTCCAGGATCCACAATTTATCTGTATTTCTAATGCAAACACTTTACATACTTCCAATTGTATGAAATGCAACATGCTTTTGAAACTAATATTTATCTTATATAAACAAGGAAGACAAGTTAAGATGCATGCTGTTCAAGACATATTATGAAAAATCAGAGAAGAGTTTATACGGTGTATTGTACAGTCTTAAACTTTTTATTCTGACAAAAATAATGAATATTATGCAAATTATATTCTTGTCCATTTCTGAACAGACACCAGGTGTCAGCTACTAATATAATTCATTTAATTTCAAATTGTTTAACTGCCCTCTTTGCCCTCCTTAAAAATGACTACATGTGAACACATTCAGCAAGGATCACCAATAAAAGAAAAGTAATTATTCAAACTTTAACTAAGCCAGCTGAAATTTTTAAAAAACATTAAGGTCTGTCAAAGCAGCATGTTAATCCAGTACTATATATTAATTTAACAGAATAAATTACTAGAATCCACTCAGAAAGAACTGATTTTGCTACAGTATCTGAAATAGGATAACCAAGAACCTATACTGAAGTAGAATGTTTGACATCCTACTTACCCTGTTGTGGAATCATGCTAAGGCATCTTCTACCTGTTGTCTTGGTTTGAATCAAGGGCTATACATCTTTAATGTTCTAACATTAGACACCATATCTGAACACAAAACCCCACACGTATGAGACTTATAAAACTAGATTTGAAATGCAGAATGCCCCTGTTCCTCAACAGATGCAATATACTGACCTAATTTACTTGGCTTCACTGAGTGAAGCATTACCTGGTTCCCATAAAGTAATCACAGGGAGCAACGATGATACGAAAAACTAGGGCATGCAGGAGTTAAAAGAAAAATAATCTTTCTGCAGAGTTAAAAATAGAGTCTAATTACAGTTGTTCTGGTCTCACCTGCAGGAAAGCAGGTGTTGAGGTCAACCACCTAATTTTGTACAAACCCCCATTTTCCAGATTTGATACAAGAAAAATGCCAGTACGTAATGAGAGAGCTCTCATTTAGAAAGCTATGGGAATTAAGCAACTCTAATTAAGCAACAATTTACTTAGCTAGTAACTCTTCAAATGTAGTTAATTTAAAAGAGCATTATTTCCATGCTGCAGGGGAAAAGTATTCCAACTACTTACTCAGATAACTTTGGGCAAATGGAGAGTTCTGATTCAGGCTAAGATTACACAGCTATTAGAGCAAAACTTAAATAAACCATAAACACTCCAGACTCATCACTTTCCAACAAAACTACTGCTGGCTTTTTCTTGGGAGTGACAACATTTCTGATGTTTCTCATCACCCTCACAGTAAAGAATTTCTTCCTAATATCCAATCCAAACCTACGCTCAGTTTGAAGCCATTTGTCCTGTCACCACATGCTTTTGTAAAAGGTCTTTCTCCATCTTTCTTACAAGCTCCCTTCAGGTACTGGAAGCTGCAATCAGGTCACCCTGAAGCCTTCTCTTCTCCAGGCTGAACAATCCCAATTCCCTTAGCCTTTCCTCATAGGGGAGGTGCTCCATCCCTAGAGGGGACCACAGAGCTGGATGCAGTACTCAAGGTGGGGTCACAGAGCCTGTTAGAGTGGTGTCTCTGGATTTTGTTGTGTGTTTTAGCTCTGAGCTTAGCAGGGCTAAACTTAAGGATTGAGCTTTTAAATTACTGAAAATAAGTACTAAGGAAAATATTTCATCACTACAGAAGATGGACAGCATGCAGACACACTGCCTAGTCTCAGTGCTCTAAAAGCCACTCATACCATGCTGAACAATTTTGAGGTTTGAAACAAAAACAAAGTGCAAACATAAATCTTTAACTGAACCCTCTCATTCCTGTAAAAGTGTTTTTCTTTACAGAGGTATAAATGAATCAAAACATTTCAAAAGACTTTGACAAAAAACATTTGCAAGGAAGATTAAAAGAAGACAGTCATAAAAACCAAATTTTGGTAACCAAATGAAGAGGCTAACCCAAGACTTCTGAAATGAAATTTGAAGTTTGCTTATATATAAGGAGCATATTTTTATTTGCATTTTGGGAGAAGGAAGCATACAAAAGGATATTCTGCTCATCTGAACAATTCAAAGTTGGTAAAAGATTAAAGTATCCTTTATATCCCACTATATTATCTCCTCATTGAGGTGACATTTGTTTTCTTTCTTTCCTTTTTAAAGGACTTATTACAATTAATCATGCTACTATCAACAGCACTGCTATTTTCATCCACATGATTTCTAACCCTGTACACTCTGGAGTTTCCTCCAATTAAAGCAATTACTGTCAAACTCAAAAATGTAAAATATATATTCATGCAAATGTATTTCTAAAAAGTTTTACTTGACAGCATGTCTTAGGAATATCTGTTTTTCAAGTCCATAAGGGTTTGAAACAGAAAGACCCACGTCCTCCCTCCAAGTCCTTCCCCAGGTTGGATGGGACTTTGCTGGATGAAATTGCATGGAAAAAAACAAAAGAATAGAAGAAAAACTGAAATGTAGTAATATAACTTAATTCTTGCCCAGGAGGTAAGGAAACATGATAAATGAAGCATTCCAAAGAAGCAGAAATCAGAATGTGAGAGAGCTACAGAAAAAGGTTAAAAAATTTTGATATAGAAAGACTGGAATAATTAGAGAATCACACTGACAGAAAACCCATTGCACCTTTCTCTTTAGCTAAAGAACATTTCCTTCATGTTTACAGAAGGATTACAAGAAATATGCTACCAAATCAGCAGTACAAACATACACCTAATTTCTGAAATGGGATCATACAAATATCTAGAGAAAACATATTAGAAATACTGAACTGTATTTCTAATGGATGGATTCACTGAACAGGACCAAGAACACAGCCCATTTTTAGCTTGCTAGTATTTTCAAATAATAAAAGGAAGACACTAAAATCAATAACCTGCAGCTGTTTACCAACATCTTCTACACTGCTAAAAATGCCTTTCCTAGTTCTTGGAAAAGCTCCTGGAAAAGCAAAGCTTTTCTGAATTAACAAAGGCTGACACTTAATCTCCATTAAATGACTGTATTCCAAATGATCATGTGCCTTGTTTTGCAAACAAGCTATGGTCCCTTACAGGACGCTCACTGCATGCAATTTACAAGTAGAATGAATAATATGCCAGATCTAAGTGTATAAGAAAGTCTGACATGGAAAAAATACTAATTCCAGTCAATTCCTTAAATTTTTTTTCTCAATAGACTGCTCACAAATGCAGTGAGGTGTAGTTCTATTACAACTGCACACTCAGCTCTGTTGATAAGGTCAGTTTCCCCATATATACAAAATCCTGTGAACTGCATTGGACATTTATAGGTATTACACCCTACATGTGAGACAACTGCAGCTGGGTACCATCTCCATTGCAGAGAAAATAAAACATATAATGGCAAATGTTATCTTTGTATCACGACACTGAATTATGCAGACAGGAGCTCTCTTGGTCAGGGGAAATCACAGATGTACAACAAGAGCCAGGACGAGTCTTTGCCACAGGATGCCAGTTTTTCTTTTGAACACCCCCTATTACTTGAGCTCTCATTTGGCATTCACAGCGGTCTGGGAGGAAATTATTCCTCCCACACTAAAGTAAAAGATCTTTAGCCACTGCTGGCAAGGACGTGAGCTGGAATGCAAGAGAAAACAAACAAAAAAATCTGACAGCTCTGCTGTACTGCTAAATGTATTCACTACCTTTTTACTATCCTATCAGTCTGCATATCTCTTCCCATCTCTTCACCAAATTAAAATTAAGCAGTCTTTCTGGGAACCAATACCTTTAAGCATTTTTACATACTAGAGATACTGTAATAAAGTATCTCCTTGCCCATGCTAATCATAAGCATGTGAGAGACAATACAGGCAGACCTCAGCCTCAATAGTATCAACAGTCCAGCTGCCTTGTTCAAAAGCAAGAGGAAGCCTCATCCAGAAACAGAACTTGATCTTTTTAACCCAATGAGTGAATGGACGCCAATCTCCTGTCACTACTGTTGCAATTGTATTTCAGCTTTTGTCAGCCACGGGTTCAAGCCAGATTAGAGGGAAAAAAAGTTAGCAAGGTTCTTTAGTGAGATTTAAGGCACGATGTATCCTCAGGCACCTACGTTTTTGCAGTGACATCCACAAACTGCCCGGGGCGGAAGTGAGCGGCATACAAAGGAGTACCTGCAGGAGAAAGGGAGAGATCATGTTCAACTTAGTGCTGAAATCCTCAAACCACTACCCAGTCATCATCCTCCAGGGCAGCTTACAGTCACAGAACTTGTTATTTACATCTTATTTGTTCTTCTTTATCAACCTCACTGACTGAAATAGATGCTTTGTGTTTACTGTTTAAGCACACATCTTAGGATATAATCCAATTTCAGACTGGCAGGAAGGGTCAAGGCTTTACTCAGATACATTGCCCTTCATACACTGCCAAAGTCCAAAGTGCCTAATTAGCTAAGATTCATAATACATATGCTTAGCAAGAAAACAGAATATGCTGCACTTAGAACTACTAGCACTTCACAAGGTGGAGAGTTCAAAAAAAAAAATTAAACCAAAAAACCAAACAAACCACAATGCCCCCCATTTATTATAAAAAATGGGGTTAATAAAAAAAGAAATTTTGCAACACTTCCTCTATGAAGACACAGTGTTTCCAAACTGAAGTCTGTGGTAAAAGTACAGCTTCCTCCAGTGAGGAATTGTCTATATGCTGACCTTTAGCAGAAACAGTGGCACTGTAGGTCAGTGACATCACCCATCTCACTGTAATTACAGAAATTCCTTAAGTACCTGCAATATCAAAATATTAATTTCTGATTTGTTTTGTCTTCAGTGATTTTTTTTATTCAAGCGCAAATATTCTTTCATTAGGAGCTTAAAAAAAGCCAACAAGGCAAAACTGGTAACTTAGTTCATCTTAAATGAACTTTAATCTGAAGACTCATGTGGCTGCATATTTCAGTTTGCAGTCTGTTATATATCCATTAAAAAAATGAAATTTTAATAGCTTAATGTCTTTTCAATTGCTTCCATGCTTTCTAAAATCTGTATGAATGCAAATTGAAATTATGTAAACCTCTCATAAGTCTCAAGTATAAAAACTTTTATATTATTTCATGTTATATTTACATAATCCACACATTCGGATAAGTGCCAACTGACACAAAATCATGCACATAAAGGATGTTATGTACAAAATGCACACACTGCCAAACCAGTTTATCAAAAACTTGCAATTCTGCTTTATCTCAAACTATTGCTTCCATTTATCAGTCCAGACTTCCTCATCATGTCAGATTTGATTTTTATCAGTTACTGCAGTCTTAAATAGGTCTTGCAAAAAGCTCCACTAATGGCAAAGAAGATGCAATACATGAGAATTTCCTACCCTATATAATTCTTCAGAAAACACCTGTAACAGCCAAAAACCACAAAACAAATGCAACCTAAATACACTACCTTATAAAACCTCAGAAATGTTAAACTTTTCATTTGATCACCAAACTTCCAATACTGATTTTTAGTGAGAATGTTTGTTATAAACATGATTCAGTGTGTTTTACTTTGCAAGCTCTAAACCAGAAAAAGCAGATTTTGTCCTACTTTTGACTGCAGCAAGAAGAAGCAAAACTCAAACTGTTATTTCAGGGTCCTGAGAATCATTACCACAAAACTGTGTCCCTCTCATAAGGATAAACACAGAACTTCCTGTAACTATATCCATATTTATGCTCAATAAGTGAGTCAAGGTTACAGACATTTACTTCTTAACTTAATGTTCAGAGTAAATTTGGATTGGATTTATTTTCTCATAGGTGTAAACATAGCATCCTGGAAAAAGCAAAAATCCTACATCTCATCAACTAAAAAGTAAAACCCATCTTCTGATTTTCCCTATGCAAAAAGTTTGCTTGTGCTTAATGACAAAGAATTCAGCACTTTCTATAAAAAACAACACTGAAATACACATCATAACTTCATTTAGGCCTACAAGTGGCAGATGCTAAATGACTATGCACATCATACTCAGTAGCTCAAAAAAATTACCTGGCTTAATTATGGCATCATCTGTTACATTAAATGTTGTAACTTTCTGCTTCCGTGGCACTCCAGCTTCTCTAAAAATTTCATGTGCAGACTCTGGTTTCTGCAACAAAAAGCAGCCATAAAAAAAAGTCATCTTAAAATACCCAAGAATCAACTTAGCACAGAAAACTATTACAGACTGTCAACATCACTCGGAGAAACAGATACATCATACTAAAATTTTATCTTCAGGCTTGCATTTTATCTCTACATAAAGTTTATTTAAAAATAAATAAATGTTTGCCTTTTATTTTCTGTCAAGTAGTTACCCTACAGCTACCTAATATAAACCAGAGATATATGAGGATATTGAAAATCTGAAGAGGGAAACTAATCATTTAGAATGTAGATGACAGATGCTACTTTTTTTTTTTTTATGGCTTACAAGGAGTTTTGTAGTAATTTAGAAGTAGTTTCTCTTTTTCAAAGCTTCTGATGACTTAGTTCCACATCAAATGATAAATGTAATTTATTTAACTAACAAAGCCATAGAAAAAAATTCTTGTCTTGCAGAAACTTCCAGAAATGCTTAAATTTCCACAGAAGAAAATTTTGAGTCTCTGGGAAAAAAAAAGAAAAATTAGTAACAACGAGTTTATAATCCACGTATTTTTGAGATATAGCAAGTACACTCAGTGTCAAAACACTGCTGACCTACTAAAGCAGAGATTTTGCTTTCAGATGAGTCTGACACATTTTAGAGTATTTGAAATTATTCTCAGCTGTTTTAAGCAAGACATCTCACAGAACAGCAGACCACTGAGACAAAATCAAGCAACAGAAACAGTGATGCAGGAAAATTGCGGCCACAGGAAAAAAAAAAAAAAAAGGAGATGCAGCTGATTTTCCTTCAAATGGCTTCTGGTAGAAAGCAATTTAAGCATCTAACAATATGTCACACTTGGATAATCTCATCTCTGAGGTCTGCTTCTCAAAACTCCTGTGCAGTTCCCTCTCTCAAAAATTATTTTGTGTATTTTAAGAGCAAGTAATGTGGACAACTATAAAAATGTTACTTAGTGTACTTGAAAACAGTTTTGAAAATCTGCATGTTGTCCTTTCTTTTGTTTTTGAACATTTGTTGGAAAGTGTTAGAACAGAGGAAATTTTATGAAGAATGAGGAAGCAAGATGATGAAGATCTATGATTTAGAAAAAAACCCAGAAATTTTAAGTTTATGAATCTGTCTTTGAGAGTGAAAAATGTTTCCCAAGACATTTCTTGAGGTCACAGTACAAAATACTTCAAATACCTTTAAAAAAACAGAATCAACTACACACAAAACCTCTCCTAAGACCACAAATATTTGAGGGATCAGTGAAGCACCTGTTTTAATCTGCAGAAATATATGTATGAATGAAAAATAAAAGATGTGAAATTCCAACTAAGTGCCTGTATATCAGTCCTTTATTTGCAGTTATGTAAAACTGATGCCTTAAGCTACAGCAAGGGGAGCCCTGTGCTCACCAGGGGGGGCTGGAAAGAGAAACCACAGCTGAAGAAGAGTATGGTGAAGTCAAAGGGTAAAATTCACTTGTATCTCAAGAGTCCTACTCTAGGCTGTAGCCTTGCACTGTTCCACTGTAACAGCACTTCCTCTTCAAACAGCCAAGGCAGAGATGTATTTTTACAAACAAAACACTTCAGTCTTTACAAACCCTTCCAAAAAAGCAATATTGAACAGGAGAACACAGTGAATTCTCAGATGTTCCTTATTTTTAAAAACACCAACAATACCTTCCAGTATTAATGGAAAATTATGGATATGCCCTCACTTAAAGGAAGCATATAAAATATTTTTGACAAAAAAAAGTCTGAGCATTGACAGAACTTACTTTTGAGCACAACTGTGCATTAAAAAATCATGAAAAATCTGTTCACTTATAACAGAGTGACATACATCAAACTGAAAAGGAAAAATGAATCTTGCTAAAAATGCAATACCCCTTATCAGTTTTAAAGCAATGTGACACTCCAAAGAAATGCAGGAAATTCTTTGTTAGAAAAATTACTGAAGGAATCGTTTGATTGAACTCATTAAAAACCAGTAGATGTGAGGAATCTGAGAAAGACAGATGTTCCTATGAGGAATTAACAAAAGAGAAATGGCTTATGCTAAAACAAGACAGTAACACTCAGCTTTCTTTTATATCTCACTTCTGATACTTCTGAGAGAAAAGAAACATATAAAAAGGCTGATAAACACAGGAAAACAATGATCCAAATTTGCAGCTACACCACAGAAATACATCACTTCTTAGCACCTTAACAAGTAAATCTGCCCAGAATCAGCATGCCAAATTCTTCCTCCGGAATTATCTAGTTTATACAATGATGATGTCAAAAATAATAATACAGAGCTCAGTATAATAATAATAATAATAATAATAATAATAATAATAATAATAATAATAATAATACAAAGCTCAGTCTCAGGCCAGGACCTCACCAAAGACTGCTCAAAGAATATTTAAATAATTTATTTATTAAAATGAGTCTAAGTTCAAACAAATTAACAGATACTAACTTGGGAAAAGTTATACCCAAAGAAAGTCTTGAACATAACTCACATTACTAAAAAGTCCTTGAGTTGACATTTTCCATAGTTCTGCTTTGAAGAAATTTTCATAGGGGCTGTTTAAAAAGAAGTTTTCTTCATACTTCCTTACTTCTGGCATGTTTTTACTCTGACAACATACTGGATTTACAGGTAACATCATCTTAATGAAAAGATTAAGGAGTCTAATGGGCAAAATACAACTTGAAAACATTATTCCCATGACTCTTGCATGTCTTAGACCAAAGTAAGAGGAAAGAAAAAAACACAGCTGTCATTTTGCCTGGAAAATGTCATACTTGGAAGGTGTAAATGGACTGAAGTGGCAGAATAGACACCTGAAGAGTAGAAGCTGTGCTAGTCAAATATGGCATAAACCAACTGAATAAATGAATGGTACCTTGAAGTATAAGCCTGTTCAAAATCAGCAGAATATACAAAAAAAGCCAACAGATCTATCAAATGAAAAAAGGTCCTTCTCTTACCTCCACTAAAGCAGAAACAAGTACACAGAATAATTCTGAGGCCCTGGGATAACCATCTGCTTGAAAAATGGAAATTTATGCCCACAAAAATCCATGATCATGAACTGAGATAATCTGCTTAGTAGTCATGAGTCCTGGGATTTTTTTACTTGCCCAAATCAGACAAATGAATGTCAGCATACTGCAAGAATTGAAAAATTATATTTTACAGAAATAATGCATCACAGAAACATCCTTTGAGGGAATGCTTCGTTCCTGCTTGATCTATAACTCATCCTGGGGAATGACAGCTCTGCCAGACAACCTCAGCCACTGGAGATATCTGGGAATTCCACATAAAGCAACTGGGATGTCTAAATAAGTGAGTGGCTTTGATATGGCTTACAAAGTCATATGGTGAGTTGAGGAGTTACAATCATGAAGCTATCTTCTTGAAAAGGGAAGTCTTAAAGTTACTTACCAGCAGAACTACAGGCAAACTAAACAATGTCAACAGACCTGGAGAAAAATTAGAACTATAGCTAAAAATTAGAACTATAGCTAAAAGAGCACTTAGTGCTCTGGCTTTCTCTTTACAGAAGAGTAAGCCAGAGCACTAAGTTGTAAACAAGTGATGGAACTGACTAAGTTTACAACAGGCTCCTGAAGTGTGTTAGTATAAAAGTGAAGTATCTTGCAGTCCTCAGCTCAACTGCTTGTACCCAGTCACAAAGAACACACATTTTTCCACTGCTAGTGGTCCTTCAAATGCTTTCACCAGCATGGGACACTGCACATCAAAGCAAATTCCTAAACCCATAGCTTTCCTAGAAAATTAACAGGTAAAACTTTCAGAAAGTTCTTCTTGCTATTCTCTTAGCCAAGAATTTACACTCACTTTAGGAAATTACAAAGGTGAATGTGACAAAAGATCAATTACAAAGCACGCTTGTATGCCAAGAAATCTTTTAGAGAAGTCTACTTCTGCTACTTTTGTAGTGTAATCACAACAGAAACAACTATTCCAACAGTGACGCCCAAAGTGCTTCACTTACAGAAAAAGGAGATACATTTTTGCCTCCAACAAGCAGCTTAGCTGTTTTTCCACCCGACTCTTCCTTTGAAACATATCTTAAGACATGGCAATCTTGGACCTAGAGAAAAGAAAATGTGTTCATCTGAGCATAAGCAGATACATTAAGACAACAAAACAGCAAAGTGAGTCTCTGTTTTCATAACAGAAGATACAGTCTAAAAGTAAGACAGTGTGTTGTGATTTTACCACTGACATTGCTTTTCCAGTGAACTGAAGGCTTATTTCAGAAAAACAAAATTAGTAGAATGCAAACTGATTTCATAAATGCTCTAGAAATTATAATCATCTTTTTCACACAAGGTCTGCAAAATCCCTATTGTAAGCATTCACAGCACACAAGCAGAGCCCCCATTTTAGACTCCGGCTGCCTTGCCCTGTAAACCTGATGGCCTTCACAGCAGTGGCTCCTCTTGTGGCAGCAGCCACTCAGCAAAAGGCTTCATCACAAGAGCAGCTGCCAGAGAATATGAAGAAGCAGCTTCAGGGCTACAAGGGCACAGAAACCAAGGTGAAAGTAACCCAAACATGCCCACAGGTGGAAAAAGAAAAGAATTGAAGTGGGATAGTTAACCCCAGCTTTGTTGCATCACCTAGGTAACACCACTCACAGCGCTGCAGCACCTGAATAGCTGAGGCAGCAGGGCAGAGCACTCCTAGAAAGTATGGATGGATATAAACAGAATGGGCGTGGTGTACTTTACAGGACTGAAAGAAATCTTTGCTTTCTTTCAGGATTTCCTACTCTGTACAAGTAGTAAGTTTCACTTTTCCTTGAAACAGCTGCTTTACAAACTGAATACATTACAGGGGATTAAATTCATTATGGTTTAATTCACCTTAAGTAATGTGACAGCATGTTTTTCTCCTGATTTGGTCCATATTGGCATCATTCCCAGTTTTACTGCAACAACACCAACTCTGATGGAATCTGTGAATCAAAACAGAACATGGATGCACCTTTACACTTAATAATAGAAAGAGTTCAAACAATAATCTGCAAAATCCCATGAATTCTGATCTCTCCTAAGGAGGTGAAGGAAAGAAAACATCACTAAATCCTTGCAGGTGGGCTGGGGGTTTTTAACCCCACCAGCAGTAAAGTTTTATCTGTTTCAGTTGTGTTTGATAGAAAATGCAACTACTTTTGGTTTGTTTTTCTTTTTCAAAACACAATGCCCATGTATTAGAGCTAAACTAACTATTGAAAAGTTTGCTGTAGGAGGTCCTTCCCACCCCAGTCTTTGCAATGGCAACCTGTCAAGTATGCCACACAAATTATGTGACCCTTTTAAAAGTTCAAAAACTTAATTCTGTGTTCTAGTCCATAAGAAATTCTAATCACAGATCAGAAGCGGGATGCATTATATTTCACTTTTTCTTCACCACCCAGCAATATTCACAAAAGCATTTTCAAGTTCATACACTTTATACTCTAAGGAGACTTTTTTGACAAATTCTTAATTTATTATCTTGTCGTAGAGCAGTGGGATAGGCCAAGAGCTGGACTAAAAACTATCCTTAAGAACCTAAAGGTCTTTAGAGGTTCTTAACATCTTGTAATATTTTAAATGCTTTTTAGAGAACTGATGTATTACATTTACTTAGCCACCAGGGGATTTATTGAGTGATTGATGTGAAAGCCAAAAGGAGAATACCTCACAAGACACAATCCTGATGTTACTGAATTCAACAACACTACAACAGTATTAATTTCAGCATGAACAGCTATTTCAGAAGAGATACTTCCTCACCTGGTGTCCACTTATTCAGTGGCCATGGCTCATCTTTCAGAGGGCACAGCTTGCTGGCTGTCTGAGCTTTATACTCCTCTGCAGTTATCTTCTTGAGGAACTCCACATTCTCCTCAGAAAGATGCTCGTGCCACCATGTTGAACTGTTGATGTGTCTGACTACAAAGCCCAGCTGACCCCTTTCCAGAGGTGGGAAAAGGTTTTGAGCGTCTTATCAGTACAAAAAGTATATATAACATATTCATAACATGTATTTTACATCAAATTTATAAAACACCTAATTATCTGCCATTTGACTAAATATTCTGAATTATACCAAAGGGGAGCAAGGAACAACAAAACAACCAACCAACCAACCAACCAACCACTCCTTTTAAGATAAAAACCCCAGCTAGATCCATGAACAAAGAGATTACAGTAGTTACAGTTTACCTTAAATTTAGCAAGACTTTTTAAAACAATCTCTTGTGGCATCCTTCTATCCAAGATGGGATGTTATGGCATGGATGGGTGGGCCATCAGCAGAGCAAAAACCTGGCTGGATGATCAGGTGAAGGAGTCACAGCTGATGGTTTGGACTCTACTAGGAGGCCAGTTACAAGCAGAGCTCCCCAAGAATCTATTCAGGAACTTGTCCTGTTCAATATCTTTTTCAGTGGCCTCTGATACAGGGGATGAGTGCACTGTTCTTATGTTTGAAGGGAGCAGAGGATGATGCCCAAGGGGGTCCCTCTGCCAGCCAGAGGGACAAGTCAACAAGGAACCCAGTGAAATCCATAAAGCAGAAATGCACAGTCCCATCCACAAGTGGCATGGAATAATTTGTGAGAAAGATACTGACAAGGCTGAGGCAGGCCATGTCATGAGGTGCACACCAGGAGAGTGAGAGAAGTGCTAAAAACTGAATAGGGGGATTCAGATTTGCCCTAAGGAAAAAAAAATGTTCAGCCTGAAGACAATCTAACACTGGCACTGGGGTCTAGAGGCACTGTGCAGATTCTGTCCTTAGAGGCTTTCAAGACCGAAAACCACAAAGCCCTGAGCAATGTGGTCTGACCTCAGGGCTGGTCACACGGTGAGAAAGAACTGGGACCTCAGCTTAGAACTTGGCTCCTCAGCTCCCTTCCAGCCCCAACAACTCTCTGATTCTACAAACACTGCTCAACAGCTCAGTGTCCTGCCATAATGTTATGAGGGCTGAAAAAGGCTTGACTGCTCCCTAATCCTCTGCAACGTCAACAAAAGAGTACTCAATAGTACAGGCAGTGAATGCACAAAGGAGTATTTAATAGTACAGGCAGTGCATGCACGTGGCCAGCGGGCCAAGGTGACCCAAGCACGGCAGGTCACTCGCTCACTTTGCTGCAAAGACGCTTTGGACGCGAACACGCCTGTCCTGCCATAACTCCCACGCAGGCTGGGGCTATTTCTAAGGCTGGAATGCCCCGGCAGTAACCCTGGCACCCCGAACAAAGCTTCCAGGGCTGCCAGCGGCTGCACACGGAGCTCTCTCCAAAGGGCGGCGCCAGGGCCGAGGGAAAAGGGCGGCTCAGGGCCCCTCACCTTCCTGCACCTGAAGGGGGAACTTACTGGAAAGGACGAGGCAAAATTACTTACAAGAGGCTGTAGTGATAGGACGAGGGGGAGTGGGTGCGAACTGAAAGACAGTAGGCTTAGGCTAGATATAAGGAATGAATTCTTTGCTGTGAGGGTGGTGAGGCACTGGAACTGCTGCCCGGAGAAGCTGTGGATGCTTGGCAGCGCTAAAGGCCACGCTGGATGCAGCTGTGAGCAACCTGGTCTAGCAGAAGGCGTCCCTCCCCACAGCAGGGGAGTGTAACTAGATTGCCTTCAAGGTCTCCTCCAACCCAGGCCATTCTACAACCTCGGGGCTGCGACAGGGGCGGAACCACGCTCTGCTCCCCGCTGTTCCTGCCGCTGCTTCTTTCTCTCCCGTCCCCCGGAGCAGCCCCTTCCCCTCCCAGCCGTAGTGCTACCTGTGTCCGGGAACGGGAGCCGGCGCCGCCGCCGCCCAGAGGCGCCCGCCGAGCCGGGCCAGCCGCCCCCAGCCCGCCATGCCGCCACCCCAGCGGAGCCGCAGCCGCCTTCCGGCCCCGCCGCGTCCGCCGCTGGAAACCTTCCGTGCTGCCCCGGACACAGAGTTCCGCCCCGCGGGCGGCGAGCTCCAGAGTGACAAAAAAAACCTCCCCAATCGCCCCAAAATCGTGGGCGTGGGTTGCAGCACCCGTGGCCGATGGAGCTGCTCTGACTCGGCGGGGTATACCTCACCCAAGGGCGAGAACGTGCAGAAATAGCCACCGGTCCCTTTCCCCCGCAGCCCTTCCATCCCTACCACGGCTCCTCTGCCTGCGTTGCAGGCGCAAGGGAGTGAAATCCTGGAATTTCAGACACACACGCGTGTCTAAAACGGAAAAATGGCAGCGGCTGGTGGGATACATCGCTGGCAAACACCCCTTAGGCACAGCGGGTTGCGGGACAATGGGGTCAAAACCTTCCTGCAGGTGTTGAGCAGGTGCCCTCAGGGGTGTGGGGGTGTCTGGGAAGAAGCGACTCTGCTGTGCCAAACTGCCTCGGGGTGCGGGGCTTAACCACGTCAGGGCTTTGCTTCCATGGAAATGAGCCACAGGGCGAGAGGAAAAGGTCTCAAGTCTTGCCAGAGGCAGTTTAGATCGGATACTGGGGAAATTTCTTCTTGGAAAGGGTGGTTAAGCATTGGAACGGGCTGCCCAGGGAAAGTGGGACCACCCCGTGTGAAAAATGCCTATTTTATGATTGGCTTTTCGCAAATATTAAAATGGATATTATATGTGTTGTGTTAGAAAGTAATGCTGTATTAATTCTCTTAAGTAGTGTGTTAAATATAGTTTTAGGTTATAAAAAAATGTTAAAATAGAAACTATGCTATGTAGGATACTTTTTTTAAAGAAAGGACTTGCAGTGAGATAGCAGCCACAGGACACCTAAATCTTTCAGAGAAAGGGAATTTATTGCTCCATTATCAGAAGAAACGAACTTCTTCCCGCCTCGAAGGCACTGTTAGGATTCAGAGGAAGAAGCTGACGGTGACCAGACAGAATTCTGTGTTTGAATGGAATTTATGCATCATGTATGAAGTGTATGAATGTGCAACAGGCTACTGTTTTTAAGGGTTAATCCTTTGTTAACGGGAGTCCTTTTTCGGGCTCGTGCTGCCCAGAAAAAGGTACCCGGACATCCGTAACTCTTTATTTCTATTGTCTCATATTGTCCTAATTCAAATTGTCCAAATTATTATTACTGTAATTGTATTGCTATTTTTATAACCATTTTATTACTATTAAACTTTTAAAATTTTAAAAACAAGTGATTGGCGTTTTTCACACCTGGGAGTGTTCAAAAATACATGTAGAGGTGGCACTTAAGGACGGGTGATGTGATGACCTGGCAATGCTGGGATAAGGGGTGGAATTGATGATCCTAGAGGCCTTTCCCACCCTGAATGATGCCATCCCTCTGTGACTCTGTGCTCCGAGCCAGTGGCTGGGATGTGTGACAGCAATTGAGCAGCAGCATTTATGGGAAGTATATTTAATAGTGTAGCCAGGGAAAGTTCCTGGTAAAATTAAAATGGGTGGGTCAGGCAGAGGATTCTGGGCAGCCTGACACAGGGATGGTACCTGTGACACTCTGGCTTTGGTGTGGTCTGGCTTTCATCAGTATTCAGGATTGATGCCCTTTTTTTTTTCTTTTTCTGGGCAGGGACCCAGCACAGCTGAGGGTGCACTAGTTAGGATAGCAAAGGGGTATGAACCCAAGATTCCTTTCTGGTTTCAGCAGAAATTCCTTTTTATAAAGACATATGAGCTGTCAGCATGGTCAACTGGAATCTGTCCTTGTTTCTCTTTACCCCACTACTCTATCTTCTCACCCACTTTGGTATGTGCGTGTGGGGGTGTTGCACATGAGGCTTGTAACTGGTATTTTGGTGTTCACACCCAAAACTGTGATCCAGAAACTTACCCGTAGCTTTCACATGCATTCCTTGTCCTGAATTTACTTCTTGTCCTTTTAAGAAGTAGCCACATAGTGTGTCCAAAATGCATCTCCCAAGTTTACAGTCCTACTGACATTCCCTGTCTGAAGCTGGGTAGTCATCTCCACTGTCACAGTGATCACTACATCTTTTTGCTTTCTCCCTGGCATCAAGAACAGCATCAGGGATGCTGCTAAATTTCATACAGATGTATTTTCTAATGGGGTCAATTGGTAGCTTATGCTGCTGCTCTGAGAGAGCTTTATATGAGGAGAAATAAAGGGGTCTAAAAATGATAAAGGTGTTATCTCCCAATTTCTGAGCACTGTGGCAACCCTACAGTGGTGCTAACCCAACCAGAAATCCCCAGGAAGTAGCAAAATTCTATTTCCCTCCATTTTAGAGATCTGCAATCAAGGCACATTGCAAGATCAAGTAACTTGCCAAACCATGGCAGATGTTCCCAGGCAGAAAAGAGGGCTCCCTTGATTCTAGAGAGCCTTGTTGCCACAGCATGATGCTTTTCTCATGTAGCATCCTGTACAGCTGAGGTGACACAGGATTTCCTGCACCAGTAACATGGAAGTAATACATGGGGGCACAGATTTCTGAGAGAAAAGTTTCAGTTCTGTACTTTTCCCTGTATTACCATGATGCAAAATCAACCTTGTCGTTGTTTTGTTGTTGGGTTTTTTTAGTTGCATGCAGCTTGTCATGGTGCTAAAGAGTCATGAACTCATCAGGTTTGTGTGTGTAAGGGGGAGTGAGTGTAGCAAGGTGGCTGCAGCTCTGAGTGCAATCAGATGGCAAACTGCCTGCTCTAATCACTTTGGGACAAGAATTCAAGTGCCTGCTGAACACAGCAGTAAAAGGCTTTCTGCACAGCAGTGGAAATGGCTGCTGCTTTTTTTGGAGGAAAGGAAGAGCACCCATTACAAAAAGCTTTCCCAACAGTCTGCCACCTTGGGTAGTCCTTGAAACTTTAGGAAGAGGAAACACCACTTTTGAACTGTCAGCCTTCACAGGAGATGTCACCTGGATTTCACCTGATCCGTTTGGAGGATCTCTCCAGTTTTGCAATGAAATTGGAAAAAATTTCATTGGGAGTGGGAGTGCAGCCGCTGATGGTTTGCAGTGAGTGCTGCAAGCAAACATGCAGCTGGGCTGCATTCATATATCATTCATATAGCTCTGTAATTGCTGAAATTGTCTCTGGTATAGTGCAGCTCCTCAGCTCAGGACTGCAGGTACAAATAAGACCTCTATGTGAAGGACAGGAGGTGCTATAAAGTCTATTTTTCTTGTGGCAAAAATGGCACTTTCCATGAATAAGAAAAAAAACAACAAAACAAAACATGAGAAGTGTAAACTTATCCTAGGAATCTTTCAGCTCATCCTCCCCAAAAAACACCCCAAAAACAAACAAACAAAAAAACCCAATGAAAACCCACAACCAACCAAAAACAAACAAACAAAAAGTAGAACACTATATTGTTCATCATGGTAAAATCTTTGTATGGAGAAGTTTTACCTTAGAGTAATAAGCATTTAGCAGTGTACTAGTGCTTTTCTCAGATCTCTTGCAGACTTAGTTTCCCCTACAAACTAAAAATCCAACTCATCCCAGTATCTGGCTCAAGAATTATAGATATTGTAGTTTGGGCTAATAGGAGGTTTTTGTGACATTTTTTGTGTTTTTGAATTGGATTTGAGATAAAAAGGAAGGCAGGGTTGTACTTGGCAGAGAATATATTTTAGATCATTGGTTATCTCAGAAGGACAAGATGTAATTTATTTTAAAGCACTTTTCAGAATTTAAAATGATCCATCAAAAGGCAGTTGAAGTTAAAATTTGCATTAAAAATTCTGCAGGAGAAATAGATGGCAGTTCAGCCTAAAGGCAGAATGGTCTTGCTAAAACCTTAAGTAGATAAAACAGGAGAAAAAATCCCATTTCAGAGATATATTCATATATTTAATGAGGTTACCCTGCACAAAGTCCACAGTATTTTATTGCAGAGAGTAGCTTGGAGCAATGAAAATAACATTCAATGCCTCATTAGAAAGCCTTTACCATATGGCCAGTTTTTTCTTCTGTGCATCCTACACCAACTCACCACACTGTTATGTGTTTGTCTTACATGCTGAGATCTGTACATTCTGAAGGCGATTTCCAATTGATTTTTCAATACCATGAAGGTATCTTTCCAAGTACTTGAGGGCTGCTACAGAATTGCTGACTTATATCAACCACTGATAATGATTTGTTTTTAAGTAAGAGCATTTATAATCTGGATTGTGTGAAGTTAACAGAAAGATCTGCAGCTGCTGGGGTTCTAAAGACATTTATATAGACCATGTACACACATGAAAATGACTGATGGTTTATCTAGCTCAGCATACAATAGCCTGTTGATATCTGCGTTTTTACTTGATGCATTATAGAAGCACTTCATAACATCTCTGGAAATGAAGAGCTTTAACTGCCCAATTCTATGTAACTATAAACACTTCAAAAATTAGTTTAGTCAAAGATCACATGCACCAGAAGGACAATTTATCTGATTCTAAATTTTTCTTGCTGAAAGCTTTCTTTTATTCAGTCTGGGAAATTACAAAGAAAAGGCTGAACTTCTCCTCAACTGTACATGACATCCCTTAGTGCAGGTCCCAAGGTGATGTAATACTCTTTACATGGTGAGAGCACCACCATGCCTCTGAGGAAGGATCTCAAATCACTTTTCAAGTATTAAAGTCCCCCATACTATTGCAAGATATTTATGATACATAACAGTGACCTTCATTTTACAGAGGAGGAATGTGAGGTGCAGAGAATTTAAAAATCTTGGGCAAAAAACAAAATGAGATACTGGAGGAGGAAAGAACACGGAGTCATTGATTTTTCAGTCCTGTGCTTTAACAGCTAGAAAATGCTCCTCCTGAGAATAGGGAAGGAAAGAAAATAGGGGGGAAGTGGGAGTAAGAAACTAGAGGTGTTGGATGTAAGAATTAAGAGTCATTGGCAGAATGGTCTATGACACGTAAGGGGAGATCACAGCAGCTTCCAGATGAAATACACCCACAGAGGGAGAGATGTGCAGCCTGACAGGGTAAGCTCTCAAATGAAGTGTCAGCCATTACATGGAAATGTGGATTTGAGATCTATCAGTTTGGACATCTCCAGACAATTTATACCCATGACCAAGTAATACTGGCTGCTGCTCAGTATCTGATCAGCTGAAGAAATCTTTACAAGCAAGTGAATGATGGCACTGCAGGATAGAGATGGGGCAGAACTGAATGTGCTGGGGAGGCAGCCCCATGCATCT